GCGCTGTTCAGGTTGCCTAGCAACCATGATACTAACCGTGAGACACGTTACATACAGCTTACAGCTAACATGTCTTAGGGTTCTCCAGAGACTTGGTAATGAACTCATCATGTGATTCAGGTGTGTTGACCCAGGGTGAGATCTAAAACCTGCAGGGACACCGGCCCTTGTGGACTGGGATTGGGGACCCCTGGTCTAGAGCTGTCTAGAACTACGGGAAGTTGTAACATCACATCAAGAAATAAAGGATGCAATTGGAGCTTTTTCCACTAGCGTTGAGACAAAAAGGCAGTTAGTGTTAAGATACTACGGGCATAAACTGAATGTGTAGTGACTCCAATCTTGAACTAATCTCCTGGAATGTAAGAGGCCTTAGGAAATTTATCAAACTAAAAAAAGTTATGAAAAGACAGTAGTCTTTATTCAAGAAACACACTTACTTGTGAGTAAAATTACAACATGGCCAAGTCAGGTGTTTTCTAGCACACATCTCATCACATGCTAGGGGAGGAGCAATACTTGTTTAAAACAAAACCAAACCTTAGACCAGGGAGATTCATCGTAATACAAAGCTCACTGATGAACCTGACTTTAGTCCCCAGTCTTTACAACACGTTGTTCCTTTATACTGCAGCTCTTTGTGGTGATAGGTTTACACTCTTCTCATCTGGAAAGCAGACGGGTTATCCAACAATTCATGTCTGAACTAAAGATATACGGAGACTAGAAAACCCAACAATGAGAAAATACTCTGTCGTTCAACCAGACACAATAGCTGCAGTCCTACAGGTTACTTCCTTAATTAGAACTCTCTTGTCCCCAGAATTAACAGTTGTTGATATAAAAGAGTTCTCCTATCTGACTACTCCATTAATCAGCTGTTACTTTTAGTTGTAGCCCATCTGGCACATAAAACCAAGCTTTTGGTATGGCGCATAAAATCATTAGTGAATGAGAGGACAATAAATGAACTGCAGATGAAAACATTACAGTCTGGTCTAAAGCGCTTGGACAGAAATCAGTGAGTGAACATTCAAATGCCACAGAGACGTTAAACACAGGAAAAACACCCAGCAAGATGGGATCCCTTTAGACCATCCATCCATCCATCCATCTTCATCCGCTTTATCTGAGGCCGGGTCGCGGGG